TAGAAAGCACTTCTGTAGTTTGGGAACTCTAATCCGCTCTTATCAACCCTCCAGCTTAGGCATTTATCAGGGTGGGAACGGGAGATATATCAGCTCTGCCACAGACTGATTTCTGGGGCCCCTGCCCACGACGAAGCAGATCAGAAAGGAGCTCATGCCTGCCAGAGTGAAGTTTTCTCCATAGCAACACATGCGACTCTGCAAACAGGCAGGACTAGACTGGGCCGGACAGTGCCCCCAGGAAGCAGCGGCCAAGGGTGCAGACAACAGAGGGAGCAAGAGGAAAGTGGCACCGACGGAGCTGGCGGGGCAGCTGACAGCGGCAGCTCTGAGACCCTCCAGCACCCCCAGCCCACCTTCCAATAAGATGGATGGCAGAGGGACAACAGATGTTCTCTGTGGAGCAGGGGAAAGAGGCACCCAGGGCAGAGTGATCGCCCGCTTTGGAGCAGACAGCTGGCACTGGAGAACTTGGGGGAAAGGTCTCATGGAAAAAACAGGTCCTATCTAAACTGAAATTCAAGCCAGGCTGATGGCGGAAGGTGTTCTCACACACCCAGCAATGACGCCAATAACAGGGGCCACCAGCGTGGCGGCTGAGACCATCAGTGCGGGACATCTGTACCTTCATCGTGCTGTGAGGGTTAAAAACTCACTCACTGATAGACACCACCTTTCTGGATGTCACATTTTTGCCAAAAGAAGAAACGGGGATCACCGAGGTGCCCTTACATCCCACAGGACAGGGTTACTTACACTTGAGGCTGGACCAGGAGGTACACTAGTTCCAAATCTCTGCTCTTTTGTTCAGATCACTGAAATGCGGGTAAAAATCCAACCACAGAACAAGGGCACCTAAGAGACTAAGTGGCCCTTCTCGGCTTCCCCTGACTCATTTCTCTAGAACGCCACTGATGAGCCACGTCAGAGGCTGGAGAGGAAGATGCGTAAGTCAGGAACTGTAACAGCTGGCAGAAGAACATCTTCAAAAGCGATTAGGAATTAAAATAAAAGCGACATCTGCCCTCAGATGTACATCTGTGCCATGTGCACGGCTCTTTGTAATAACAGAATGTAAGCAGAGCTGTCTTACAGCACTAATGCTAAGGGGCAGGACCAGCAGCCTCCCTTCAGGTTGTGATGTCTGCAGGGATGCCTGGGAGGATGTGCACTGGTGCCACGGAACCCGTGTCCTGCCAGGTCGTGACACAACGGGCTCCCACTGTACACGCTGCAAACACATCACCCCGACAAGCTGGCCGTGGTGTCAGCAACCGGGAAGAAGGCAGTTCCTGGAGAAAAGGTGGCTCCACCACATCTGCCTCCAAAACAATTAAAAAGCAAAAACCAACCACTACCCCCAAAGTTCTCTGGGCCCTAAATTCTTAAAGTCATCACAGACCAAACAGGAACCCAACCTCCAAATGACGGGCCCAGAATTTCAGAACCATTTCCGTGCTGCAGAGCCAGCAGCGCCCGCAAATGAGCTTTGCAACAAACAGAAAAAGTCTGTCTCGAAATGACATTTCGTAGGTAATGTACAAGTGGCTTCCTCTCTGCTGGATGTGCCCCCTTGTTCTCATTCTCTGTTCTCGCTAATGAGCGCCTTTTCCTCTCTCTTCCCCCTGCCTGTTTCAGTTTGAAACGTGGCACTGTGGCACCAAAGGAACAGGACATTGGAAAGGGAAAGGAGAGGGGAGGCGGCTTTCAAATCTGACACACACCCCACTGGCTGCCCACACCCTGAAGGCCGCTCCGGCCGGGCTCCACCTCAGACAGGCCTGAAGGACCAAAGTGTGGAGTAGAAATCCCCCTTGCACCACCTCTCCCCGGCAGAGTCAAGAAAGAGAAAGCTGGAAGGGAAGGAGGGGGAATGAAGCTCCGCATTCCTGACATTTTTTAGCCAAGTGCTGTGGCTGCACAGAGCAGCTCTATTCCAATCAGCCCGCAGGACTGAAAGAAAACCTGGGCTCGGGGGAAGAGCCTGCCCCGGCCTCGGAGATGGGAGAAGGAACCTCAGGAGGGTTCAAAACGGAACCAAACAGAGGTGGGAGGGCAACCCTTTCATGTGTGTTCCCCAAAGGAGGTGATCCCAAGGGAAGGAACTTGGAGTCATCATCTCCCAGGGGACAGAACTAAAGTCCTGGGGTTCCTGCGGGGGAACGAAAGGCCCTCTGAACGCTGGTAAGCTGACCAGTGAGTTGGGGAAGGGGCGAGGCAGGGAAGAAGTGGAGACCAGTTAAGATGCAAGGGCCAGGCTGTGGCTGGCTGGGGTCGGGGGAGAGGGCCCCAGCTCATTGGCAGAGGCTGGGCAGGGGACCCCAGAGGGAGAAGTAGCCAGGAGACTCGCTCTTTGTGGGAAGAATTATAATTGAGTTTTCCTGATTCAGCTTCTGAATGAAGGCATCCTAGCCCTGCCCAAGTTAGAAACCCAAAAGCCTGCCGTCCTCTCTCCCTGCCTTCCCCTCCCCTTTCCATCTCCTTCCGTCCTCACTCCTAAGAAAAAGTGAGTCGTGTTAAGTGCTGGCCTGCCCCCCATCATCTGCATCCCTATATACACACACACGTACACACCACCCCTCCAGGGAAGAACCCAGATGACCCTGAGTGATAGCTTGTAAGTCCCTGGCTGGTTTACCCCAACTGTGAGGATGCCCACATGTGTTTCTCTGAGGTCCTGCTCTCATCTGGTAGGGAGAGCAGAGTTCCAGAAATCTGAGTCCCCCCGGCAGATACCTGTCTCTGTGGAGAGTCAGTTGGTAGGTACAGACAATGAAGACCTACTGTGTGCCTAGTGCAGCAGAACACACGTGATTCATAAGGGAGGTCTGGACACGGCCCTCCTCCTCCCAGACCAGCCTGCACCGACCCACAACGTACCTCCAGTGCACCTTCCTGAGGAGACAACCTGTCCTGTACGTACAGATGCCGCGGGGCGAAGGTTCTACCAGAAGAGGGTGGTGGGACAGGGAGCCGTGAGGCAGGCATTTCACCCCTGGCCCTTTCCACACTCCCCAGTCCAATCCCAAAAGGGGGAGGAGGGCAGGGCGGTTTTTTCAGGGTTTTTTTCCCACCCTGGGCCTTCCTCTTGTCATGTACTGGAATTAAGGGCTCCTAGCACTTTCCACCTCCCATGGACGGCCAGGTTTAACCAACAGGACTTTCCACCAGACCAGAGGCAGCGAGGGAAGGAGGTACTGAGCTCAAATACTCGGCAGCTCTTTTTGAGCAAAGGTAAAAGCAGGTAGAGCCACCATCCTTAATGAATGCCAGACACACAGCAGAGAGACCCACCAGGCTATGCAAGAGACGTCGCTGGCTGTGAGGGCTACAGCTGTCACGTGTCTTTCCAACCACACCCTCCAAGTCTGGTGACAAGGCACTGGGAGGCCTCTTAGAATGGAGGACAGCAAGGAGACACTGAGAGCACTGGCTGGACCAAACAAATTTTCTCCTATCCCGCTAAGCTATTAAGATCAACAATAACAGGGTTTCAGGAGCAAACGACCTGATTTCACATTGGTAGAACCTGTTATGGCTTTTGCTGCTCCCATGATCTCAGTTAAACCTCACAATAATGCTGTGAGGAAGACAGGTTTTACTCATCTGTAATGATGGGGAAACTGAGGCTGCATCTGTTTTTTATTTCGTCAAATTAGTGACAGAGCAGGGACCGTGACACCGGGACCACCCTGGCTTGACAAAGCCCTCGCCGCCGATACATCACGAGAGCTGTCGGGGTGGGTGGAAGGAGTAAAGGAGGCCTGCAGACCCTGAAGCCCAGCCAAGGACACATGCAGACATCCAACGCTGACTCGGCCACCACAAGAATGTCCCCAGCTTGAGGGCAGCTTCACTGACCAAGCAGGGCCCTTGTCATCCTTAGAGAGGAGATAGGGAACCCAGAGACAGAGGGACACAGAAGAGGTAATTAGCCACGCCAGGAATCTTCCATCTTCAAGGCAATTTATAGAGTTACAGCTTCCTAACCCATTCCTGAGAATGCAGATAAGCTGCCCACGAAGTGTCACTCACATATCTGACCCTTGAGACAAGACAGACCACAGCAAGTCCTATACTCAGCGTTTGCCAGTTCTCCCTACTTGTGAATATCACATTTTTCTGGCTGTCGGGAGTAGGGAATCCTTCCCATCAGCCCCCTTGGATTCTGACCCCATTCAGGCTTACTAAAACTCCCTACTCCATGAGGCCTGCCCCAGCTGTCCTGAGCAGGACCCCGTCGTCTCCCCCTACCCAAATAGCTTTTAGAGAATCACCTTTCCCCTAAAAGCGGAGGGTATCCCTGGGCCGTGCCTTGCTCCTGTCACAGGAGAAGCTCTGGGTCCACCACAGATGGATCTGAATGAATAGTTCACAGAGTGAAACAGGGTTTATGAAAACTGGCCTTTTGGGCAAGAGTAAAAAAAAAAGGGGGGGGTGGGGAGGGTGGCGGGAGGACGGCAGAAGTGCACTGCTGGGATGGGGCCAGGGCCACACGTGAACACCCCGAGTCTGGCCCAGAGCGGAGGATGCAAAAGACCCCGAAAATCAAGTGGGAGGAGGAAAGGGGCCGGGGTCCCTCCCACTGGAAAAGCCCAGAGGAGCTAGCAGCCACGGCTTGGGAAGGGGAGTTGTGCAATGACTGCGTGTCTGGAAGTCTCCGGGCTTGGCTCCCGGACACCAAAAAGGAACCCGCGCTGGGCGGGCCGGGTGGCAGCTCTGCGGTTGGTTCGAGGCCAGGCTGAGGATTCGGGGCTGCAGGGAGAGCTGCAGGGTACGGTAGGTGCCCAAAAGGGCGGCAGGGCAGGCGGGCACGGCGCGGAGCTGGCGGCGGTGTCTGGGCTGACTAGGAGGCCGAGGGGCGCACAGTGCACAAAGCCGGGGGTGCGGGGGACCGACACGGCGGCCGGGCGCCCAGGCGCAGACGCGGACCCCGGAGACCCGCAGGGGGACGTCGGGCGGCGCGCGAGAGGGGCGCTCACCGCCCCGCTGTCGCTCACCTCGAACATAAGCCCGATGAGGACGCAGAGCACCAGGCAGAAGCCGATGTCCGCATGGTTGTGGATGACGAACTCCTGGCTGAAGAGCGGGTAACTTTTCGTCCTCCGGCGGAAAGCCATGGCAGCGGGCGCGCACGGCCGGCGGGGCCCGCAACCGGCGCTCACCAGCCGCCGCGCAAACTTCTCGAGCCCAGGCCCACTCCGCCCGCCGGCCCGCCGCCCTCTCGCCCTCCCGCCGCCGGCCCAGCGCCCAACAACTTCTGGGGCCCGCCCCCTTCCTCCGCCCGCCCCCGCCCCCGCCGTCCGGAACCGCCCCCGGCGCAGCCCCCTCGCCGCCCGCGGCCCGCACTCGGTGCGCCTGGCTCGCTCGGGCCCCGCCCCCCGCGCGCTTAACCCTTTCGCCGCTGGGGACGCGAGGGGGCGGGGCCGGGGCCGGGGCCGGGGCCGGGCCGGGGCGGGGCCGGAGGGCGGTGCGCCAGGCTGGGTTCCCCTTGCCCGGCGCTCGCGCCCCGCCGCGTTCTCCCGGCCGGGAGCTGGCAGAGGGGCGCAAGGACGCACGGCCCTACCCGGACAGGAAGTGGGCCCGGGTTTCCCACTCCTCGGCGGCCGCTCCTTCCTCTGCGGGAAGGGAAGGGCCGCGGAGGCCGCGGGCTGGCCGCGGGGTGGGCAGCTCAGCTCGGTGCTTCCGGAGGTGCGGGCTGTGGCCTTGGCGGGCTGAGAGCCGCTCAGGTTCGGTGCTGGCCGGCATCCTCGTTGGCCACAGCGGCCTGCACGGATGATAATGAATGGACGGTTAACCAAGTATTCACTGAGAGCTAGAGAGGGTTAGGCACGGTTCAGATTGCTAGGAATATGCAGCAAAGACCCTGCCCTCGGGGAGCTTGCTTTCCAATGGGCGGGAATGGATGGATCGGTGCAGTTGTGCTCTCTTAACTTTTGAGAACTTTGTGCTACTATAAATTAGTTTTACACGTTTTACCCAAAGTCTACCTTCGATGTTAATTGATCCGAAAAAGTGGAAGAATAAACACTGAAGAAGAAAAGAACTTTCTCATTGAAAGTTTCTGTTTAATATTAAGTTTTAAAAGTACTCGTGGAGGGCTTCCCTGGTGGTGCAGTGGTTGAGAATTCGCCTGCCAATTCAGGGGACGCAGGTTCGAGCCCTGGTCCCGGAAGATCCCGCGGAACAGCTGGGCCCTGGGCCCGTGCGTCACGGCTGCTGAGCCTGCACTCTGGAGCTCCCAAGCCACGACTACTGAAGCCCGGGAGCCTGGAGCCTGTGCTCCGCAACAAGAGAAGGCACCGCAATGAGGGACCTGAGTGCCCGAACGAAGAGTGGCCCCCATTCTCCGCAACTGGAGAAAGCCCCGTGCACAGCGACGAAGATCCAATGTAGCCTAAAATAAATAAATTTTTTAAAAAAAACTACTCATGGAGGACAAAAGGTATTTTTCATAAATTAAATTGGCAAATATTGGATTTAGTCCTACCAGTAATGAAGGAGTCAACTAATCACTTTCCAGAGGTACAAAATGAGAAAAGAACTATTTAATTCCTAGTCCCTTTTTTATTAGGTCCACAGCTATTTCACTTATAAGTAAATACAATTTCTTAGAAATGGCACAGTGTATGAAATGTGATTGAGTCTGGACTTATCTGGAGTTCTGAGATAAATTTTCCATCTTAAGTTTCTTGACTCCAGTATTTAGTCTTTGGTCTTTAATTCCTTTATCTGACATAAGGAAATGAGAAAGTAATGCCTATATCGGACTAAAGCTAATTTAACTTCAAGACTGACCTTTCTTAAAGTTGGACCTTAATCTCGTGAGGAATAGAAAGATCCAGAACTCTGGAACATCTCAATTTTCCATCTGTGAAAAGGTGTTCAAATCTTCAAACTGCAGCCATATCTATTAGGTTGAACCCTATGAAACTGACTTCTTTATAGGTCAAAACCAGAACACCAGCATTTCAGATGGTTCAACCTAATAGTTCCCTTGTGTTTCCACATGACCATTTGTAGAGGATGTGGTGGTGGGAATTTCTTGCAAAGGTGGGATGCTAAAAAAAAAGAAAAAGGTGGGATGTTGCTATCCCCTTAACATTAAGAGTTTAGTTGGGAAGTCCTGGGACATAGTTAGGTACTAGAACCTCCATATTTATAAATGAGAAACATGAAATAAAGGGGATGACTTAGGGCTCATACTGATGACTGCCAGCTCCAGACCCTTCCAAATATAATTGAACAACTAGACACGGGGTTCTTAGCTGTATGATTTAATATTTCATTACCTTGAAACCCCAAGGAGGAAGTCCTAGATGCCTACTTCATCCATTGCAACCACCTCTTAAGTCCTAGTTTCAAGACCTTCAACCCCAAATGGATCTCTTCCCAACCCCTCTCATGCAATCGGTCATGGAGTCCCATGAATTCTTACCTCAGAATCTCTCCCACCAACTCTCACCTCCACCACTCTTCACGGGGCCCACAGAAATTACCCATGGTTACACTGCCTCCAGTATCTCCCCCCTTCAACACATCTTTCCATTAGAAACATCTACTGAGCACCTGCTAAGTGCCAGATGCTGTGCTAGTTACTGAAGACAAAGATAGGACAACCCCTGTTGGTGGTTTTAAAATATGTCCTCAAGTTCTTTGATATTCCAACCTTCAAGAGATAGCAATTAATTCCCCTCTTCCCCTTGAGTGTGGGCTGGATTTAGTGGCTCACTTTTAACAAATAGAATAAGTTATGGTGTGTGACTTCCAAGACTAGGTCATAAAGGCATTTTGTTTTTCTCCTTTCTCTCTTGTCTTGATCACTTGCTCTGGGGAAAGTGGGCTGCCATGTTGCGAGGATACTCAAGCAGCTTTAGGGAGAGGTCCACATGGACAGGAACCAGGACCTCCAGCCAACAGCCAGTGCTAACTTGCCAGGCTTCTGCATGAGCCATTTTGGAAGCAGATCCTCCAGCCCCAGTCAAGCTTTCAGATGACCACAGCCCTGCTGACCTCTTGACTGCAACCTCATGAGAGACCCCCTAGCCAGAGCCAGCCAGGTAGCCACTGCCAAATTCCTGACACACAGCAGCTGTGAGCTAATAAATATCTGCTGTTTTAAGTCGCTGAATCTTGTTGTCACTGGTTATGCAGCAAGAGGTATGCTGGAGCTTACAATCTATTAGAAGAGACAGAGACATCATTACAATTCAGTGTGATGATGGTGACTCTAAGAACAACTTGAAATACATACCCTATGAGTGCAAAGAAGAGGTAACTTAATTCTGTCTGGGGTAATGGGAAGAGGACATTTGGGCTGGACCTTTATCTGGTAGGATCTTACTGATAGAGAATGCAGGAGCGGGGTGGGAGATGAATTTTGGAGGCTTAAGATGGAGCTAGGTTGTAACAGGTTTCAAATGCCATGATAAAGAACTGTGACTTTCAGTGTATCATAAATACCTTACAATTTTATTTGTCAATTATACCTCAATAAAGCTGAAAAAAATTTTTTTAAAGAATTGTGACTTTATTCTGCAAACAATGGGAATTTTTTAAGCAGGACCAAATCTGGCTTTAAAGAGAGAACCATCAGGAATGTGAAAGATTGTTTTGATTTAAAGAGTAGTATCCTGGGCTTCCCTGGTGGCGCAGTGGTTGAGAGTCCACCTGCCGATGCAGGGGACGCTGGTTTGTGCCCCGGTCCGGGAAGATCCCACATGCCGCGGAGCAGCTGGGTCCGTGAGCCATGGCCGCTGAGCCTGCGTGTCCGGAGCCTGTGCTCCGCAACGGGAGAGGCCACAACAGTGAGAGGCCCGCGTACCGCAGAAAAAAAAAAAGGTAAAAAGAGTGGTATCAGGAAGACCATTTGAGAAACTATTAGAACAGCCCAGTTAAAAACAAAGCAAAACAAAACAAACCCCTTCTCAAAGAATAGTGGCGATAAGAATAAAACAGAGGTGAATTATTTCAGGGACAATTGTACGGGTTAATTAATTGGATTTGGTGATTGCTTTAATATATGATGTATAGGAGTTGGAGGAGTCAAAACTTTAGGCTACAATGACATAAATGATGGTGGGACCATTAAAAAACATATATGGGGAGTTCCCTGCTGGCACAGCGGTTAAGAATCTGCCTGCCAATGCAGGAGACATGGGTTCGAGCCCTGGTCTGGGAAGATCCCACATGCCATGGGGCAACTAAGCCCGTGTGCCACAGCTACTGAGCCTGCGCTCTACAGCCCGCAAGCCACAACTACTGAAGCCCTCGTGCCTAGAGCCCGTGCTCCGCAACAAGAGAAGCCACCGCAATGAGAAGCCCGCGCACCACACAAAGGGTAGCCCCTGCTCTCCACAACTAGAAAAAGCTCACGTGCGGCAATGAAGACCCAACACAGCCATAAATAAATAAATAAATAAATAAATAAATAAATAAATAAATAAAATTTAAAAAAAAAACACGTATATGGAACAACAGAGAAAGAACAGTCATAAGCGAGGAGAAGCTGGCCTCAGCTGTGCACAAGCTGAGCCTGAGGAGTCTCAGGATGTTCAAATCGATGCTTTGACAGGTCAGTTGGAAACCATTGGACTGGATTAAGGGAGAGAAAGTCAGAATTAAAGGTATTTGTGCTTCATCTGCAAGGGGACTGTGGAAGCCATGAGGTTAACTAAGTGTTCCCAGGAGAGTGTGCTGAGTGAGGAAAAGCCCGAGGTCAGCAGAATCTGAGGGACCCCCAACTCTGAGAAGGGGGGAGAAGGAAAAGGAAAGGGGGGCGGGTTGAGGAAGCCATAACGCAAGCATTTCACCAGGGCAGGTTAAACTAGGCAGGATAAGAGGATGAAGCCCCTAGGTGCTGGCATTATGGCCTTTGAGGGCCCACTCTTTTAAAAAAAATTTTTTTAATTGAAGTATAGTTGATTTACAATGTTTCAGGTATACAGCAAAGTGATTCAGTTATATATATATATACATATATACTTTTTCAGATTCTTTTCCATCATAGGTTATTACACGACATTGAATATAGTTCCCTGTCCCATACAGTAGGGCCTTGTTTTTTATCTATTTTATATATAGTAGCATGTATCTGTTAATTCCACATCCCTAATATATCCCTGCTCCCCCTTTCCCCTTCAGTAACCGTTAAGTTTGTTTCTATGTCTGTGAGTCTATTTCTGTTTTGTAAAGAAGTTCCTTTGTATCATTTTTTTAGATTCCACATATAAGTGTTATTATATGATATTTGTCTTTCTATGTCTGACTTACTTCACTCAGTATGATAATCTCTAGGTCCATTCATGTTGCCGCAAGTGGCATTATTTCATTCTTTTTTATGACTGAGTAATATTCCATTGTGTGTATATACAACATCTTCTTTATCCATTCATCTGTCGATGGACATTTAGGCTGCTTCCATGTCTTGGCTATTGTAAACAGCGCTGCAATGAACATTGGGGTGCATGTATCCTTTCCAACCATGTTTTTCTCCAGATATATGCCCAGGGGTGGGATTGCTGGATCATATGGTAACTCTATTTCTAGTTTTTTAAGGAACCTCCATACTGTTCTCCACAGTGGTTGTATCAATTTACATTCCCACCAACACTGTAGGAGAGTTCTGAGGGCCCACTCTTAATTGGACATTGGAGGAGGCATAGTTAACAGTGGGTAGAAGATGAGAAAAGGTGAGAAAATAGTCTATTCTTTTAAGAAGTTTGGTGAGAACAAGGGAAATGGATAGTGCCTTAGGAGATACAGAAGATCCAAGGAAGGATCTTTATTTTTTAAGATCAGAGCATATTTGGAGACAGAGAAAAAACACTCAGGAGAGGGAGAGGGAAATACTTAAAATACTAGAAATATGGGAGATCATGGATGAAACCAAGGAGGAGGCATGAGGGTCACTCCTCTGAGGCTGGGGCAACAACCTAAGATGGGTGAATCTATAGTTAGGTCTGGACGTGGAGGAGATAATAACCTTTCATGTTTATATTGTGCTTTACAGTTACCCTGTGAGGGAGGAAAGACAGTGATTACCAACCCCTTCTTATAGCTGTTCTGAGACTCATGAAAGACAAAGGGCCACATAATTAGCAGGTAGCTGAAACAGGACTCAGGCTAGAGATCAGCACAGGGTCCCCTCTGCCCACCCAAACTGGAGCCTTTCAGGCTTCCTAGAGCATGGCACTGATCAAGTAAGCACCATCTGTCTCTCCCCACCTGTCCCATCATGGCAGCTGATAATTCTGAAACACCAATGCTTAACTAAATTGGAGTAGCCCCTCTTTCCAGAACAGACCCTGCAGTTTCCAATCTCTGTGTCTTTGTTCCTCTCACAAGGCCCTTGTGCTATGTCCCTTTGCCTATAAGGTAACTATCCTTGAAGATAAAGGGTGTGTACCTCTTCCTTCACAAAGCTGTCTTCAGGGCACTTAGGCTGGAGGGGTCACATAGCACCTGTGCACACCTCTCAGGTAGCAGCAAGTTCTCCTGCAATCAGTGGATTTGTCTATGAGTTTTACACACCCTTCGGATGGTGTCACCTTTTAGGGCAGGAAGCTAGCCATTCGCTCTGATTCCATCAGCACCAAACACAATAATCCCACGTGGTGTGTTCTCACTGAGTGTTGTTTTAGTGAATAAATGATTGAAAGAGAGATGCCGTTGCCATGGCCGGTATAAGAGTGACCACTAGCCCCGGGAAATGGAAAATGTCTTTTCTCATATAACAAGAAGTCCTGAATCAGTTCATTCCCAGGGGTAAGTGATTCATCCAAACCTGGATTCTCACTGTCCTGCCACTTTGCCACTCTGTGTTTGCTTTTGTCTCAGACTTGTCCCTCATGGTTACAAAGGGGCTGCAACAGCTCCAGGCATTCTATCTTTCATACAACAAGACCCAAAATTCAGACAAGAAAGAGGGGGGCATTTTGAAGAGTGAAGAAAACTTTCCCAGAAATCCCAGACTTTCCCCTCATGCCTCATTGGCCAGAAATGCATCACATGCCCATTCCTAAACCAGTCATTGGCAAGGTGAGTGGAACTGACATGACTAGATTAACCTCACCAGGAAGGCATCCTCAGAGGAGCTGAGGAGACTTTCAGCCTGCTTTGAAGATCCTGACTAGGTCCTGGCAAGAAAAAAGGCGGGGAACTAGTATGGAGCAGGCATCCAGAAGCATCTGCACCATAATTTTTGTCAGGGCTTTTTACTCTATATATTTTCACCTCTTTTCCTCAAGGGACTCATGGCACTCTTGCCCAAAATGAGTCTTGCTTTCTGGTTTCCGTACAGTAGACACATGAGCTTTGCAAATGGCACACACCTACCAGTCACTGTTGAAGTGTCTCGCTGATGGAGCTGCAGCTTGACAAAGTGTAGTGTTGGTGCTCCAGCATGTCGGTCCAGCATGTCATATCAGGCACAACATTCTTGCCTCTGATACCACAGCAGTTTAGTGGAATCAGTGGTATACTAAGGTCAGGGCAGTGGAAGCAGTCAGCCCTGGGGGCACGCATGAAGGCATTGCACGATCTATAAAGAATTTTAAAACAATGATAAACCTCTAAAGGCAATGTGGTATCCTGGATTTAACCCTGGAACAGAAAAAGGACATTAGTGAAAACATGGCTGAAATCCCAACAAAGTCTATAGTTTGGTTAATAGTATGGTACCAATGTTAATTTCTGTGTTTTGAAAAATGTACCATGGTTACATAAGCTGAGTGAAAGGTTTATGAGGACTCTCCATAATATTTTTGCAACTCTCACGTAAATCCAAAATTATTTCAAAGTTAGAAACAAATTTTAAATGACAAAAGTGACTAAAATTCTTTGTTTTTTAATTACCACCATGGCAATTCTAAACAATGTTAGAGGTAAAAATACTTCCCCAAATCTTTTGGTCTAAATTCTAAACAATTGTTGTTGCTGTTGAGTTTTAATAATATGTATGTAAATTTCAACCTTGCCCATTTTTACTATTTATCTTTTAATAAACACTGCATCCTACATGAAAGTTAATTCTAGTAACTCTCATATATACAGCCGACTCCTAATACACAGGGTCTCAGATGCACATATTTGTTTCCAGTAAGTTCATACCCATCTGGAATCAGCCTAGCTCGTTTCCAGCACAGCCAGGTCTCCAGTATGACAGAAGCTTGGGTTTGAACCACAAATTGGAAACAAACAATGATAACAGTGATTTTATAGATGAAGAAACAGAACTTGTTACTTTAATTCTGTCATTCTTTGTGGCCACTGGCAGCTCTTATTTTTGTTTAAAATGTAAAGCAGTAAGACAACAGTAACAGTACAAAATGCCTGCTTCCCACACTCACTCACCTTCGGCAGTTAGGCGGTAACTCAGAAAAACCAAGTCGCTTGTCCAGTGGCAGCAAGTGACTCAGTGGCAGAGTAAGACATGGGAACCAGGACTCCTGACCTCTCAGGGCTCTAACCACTGCCCCCTATTTCCTCTTTCCAAGTCACATTCAGCTGGAGACAGACTTATTCCAGACGACTAATGAGTGTGCCACCTGACATTCAGAAGGGAAGTGGGGGGCATTTTTAAAAAAAGACACAACTCAAGTTAACATTAGAAATGAGTACATTTCTGGGGACTTCCCTGGCGATGCAGTGGTTAAGACTCCGTGCTTCCAATGCAGGGGGTGTGGTTTTGATCCCTGGTTGGGGAACTAAGGTCCCACGTGCTGCACGGCTCGGCCAAAAAAAAAGAAAAGAAAAGAAATGAGTACATTTCAGTCAGAATTCCTGCAACCAGGAAAATACTGGAATACAACATTTGGGGAGCAAAGGAATGATTTCAGATCTTGATTTCCACCGAGTTCTCCAATTTGGGGGGCATCTTTCAATGGAAACTCTCTGGGGAACTTAGCCTTAGTTTGTTTAAGAAGAAAGCAAGAACTATCGGAATGGCACCTCTGTGATGCAGTGCGCATCACTGCGAGGAAAAGCTCCATAGCAAGAACTCTGTGGAAGGACAGTTTACACGAGCCTCTGCCTTCCCCGAGCAGCTCTCGCCCAGTCTGGGGAGAAAGGCAGACACTGTTTTGATTAAATTTAAGCAGCTCCTTGTGAACCTTTGTAATCAGTCCTTGAAATTCATCCCATCTCTCTTTCTCACATCACAGCCCAGGATTCAGGAACCATTCACTTGTGAGTTGTCAATCATGAACACTACATGCAACTACTGGGTGTGTCTTTGCCTAGCTCCCAACCACAATAATGGTTTAGGGGTGCGCCGCTCCTCACTGAGCTGTTAATTGACCTCCTACTGCATGCTTGGAAGGATGATGGATGAGTGGAAGTGTGGGTGGATGGATGGATGGATGGGTGGAAGGGTGGGTGGATGGATGGAGGGATGGGTGGAAGGGTGGGTGGATGGATGGATGCATGGGTGGAAGGGTGGGTGGATGGATGGATGCATGGGTGGAAGAGTGTATGGTTGGATGGGTAGGTAGATGAGCAAATGGACGGATGGATTAATGGATCAACGTGAGGGAATTCATACCACTCCATCTTTATACTGGTGCCCAAGGTAATTGCATAGTGAAGGGGCCCCAAGGGGATCCTGCTTCCACACAGGAGGCATGTTCAAGAACAAAGATATATCTGGGTTGGGTAGAATTTAGCCGTGGGGTAGATTTAAGGCCCTGGGAGATGGGAACCATAGCTTTCCATCTGTGTGCCTTAGCAACCAGCTCATTCCCTACTGCAGAATAGGTGCTGATAGACTGTTGATAAAAATGAATGAATGAATGATTTGAGAAACACAAGGAAGGCTCCCCCTGACCCTGATACTCACCCCCACATTCTGATTTTTTGTTACTATATTCCAACGTGAAAATTTCATCCCTTTGTAAATCAGTCACGTATCCAGAAAGTGTCCAGTTATGATGCAAAATATTCCTGGATGCTAAATACATTAAGCCCTTTCCATCTGTTGTCTCTCTGGCAGAAGTGAGCTGGTCACACTGCTGTCTCGCTTGATTCTTTGCGGATGAGGTTGGGCACAGGGCAAGCCCAGAGGTTTCTCTGACGGGGCAGAAGGGCTCTTGCTGGGGATTGGGAGAGGGCCCTCCAATGCAGGCGGCCCCAGGGTTCGGAGGAGGGACCCAAGACCCCTCTCCCCTGATCTCGGCAGCCAGCCCCTGGCCCCAGCGCCTTCTCAGCGGCCCCTCCTCCATAGGAGAAGAATTCCTCACTTTGTCCCCTGGGTTTCCACAAGCTGGGTGGGGCACTGAGGTGAGGAAAGAAAGAAAGAAGAGGAAGAGAGAGCAAGAAAATAAACACGAGAAGCGGAGAGACACAGGACAGTAAAGAGAGAAGAGTGGAAAGAAAGTGAGGGTAGATATAGGCAGGGGGTAGGAGAGAGGAAAAAAATAGATTCTCTTTGCAGCACAATGCTTCTAGTAATAATATCATCATTATCTCGCCTGAACAGATGTGCGAGGACTCTGTCTGCTCATTATACAGCATGAAAATGGAACGAGTTTCCATCAGCCTCATCGGAAATCTTGGCAGATGCTGTCAGCAAGTGGTGCTGCTTCTGAGATGTGATTTTTCAATAGCAGATACAGTACTTTTTGACTGCGGTTGGGAAAAAGAGAAAAAGGGAGTTGATTGTGCTTTCTTTTTTTTTTTTTTTTTTAATTTTGAAATTCTTTTCTCCAAGGAGGTTTCGCCTTAGACCACATCGAGCTCCTTGGACCAGCCACATCGGTATGACCAGTGGTCTGGGGCTGGCCTGCAGTCTTAGGGCCACGCTAGACCCTGTGCCAAGCCCTGTTCCTTGGAAACAGCCCCTCTGCTCAGCCTCCAAGGCACGCCCTGCGAGGCCCTGACCTCCCCTACTCCCCACTATTCATCGTCTCCAGTCCCCTCTTCCACTTCCGCCTGGACCTCAGTGTCCCTGTCTTGCATGGAGACGTCTGAAGTGTGCGGTTCAAGCAAAGAGCCTTTTGTTCCCAGCTGAACAAGGCCCAGGGAGCCCGGCAGCGCCAGAGACAGGAGTGGACACCCTCCGTCCCTAGACGGAAGCCTCGCAGTGTGGAAGCTCCTCATGACCAGCGCCACCTTCCCCGGGATGGCGGCCAAGGCCTGCGGCCCCGGGTAGGAAATCCCCAGTGAGAGGCCCTTCCTGAGCGCCACAGAAAATGCTTCTTTTCATCGACTCCAGTCCCCTTCCTTTCTAGCGTGAAGGCCCAATCACACCCCCCTTCCTGGCCTTCCACACTCAGTTCACATGCCAAGTGCCCCACCCAGCGCTTGTTGGCTCCTGCACCCTCAGCTGGTCTCCCCCAGCCCCTGGAAAGCCTCCTCTTTCCCCCAGTGGGGCTGCCCACTCTCCCTCCGCCCAGCTCCCTGGGCCCTCGCACCAAACTCTTCCATGCCATGACCTAACATCTCCAAGAGGCTCCCGTCAGGTTGGACAGAAAGGGTTTGTTGACTTTGCCAGATTAGCAAGGGGAGCAAATTCCACGGATGCCTCAGTTCTAAAGTCTCAAAGTTCAGACCTCCAGTTTGATAGCAGGAGTTAAGTGATGGAGGCGGCCTGAGGTAGCACAGAAAAATAACAGCAACAGCGATCGCTCTGGGTGGAGCAATTACTAGCTGGCAGGCAATTGTCTCTGCCCTCTCACGAACTTCTAAACTTAATCCTCACAACAACCTCGGCTACAGGTACTGCTGGTAGCCCCAACTTGCATACGAGGAAATAGAAGCCCAGAGATATTAAGTAACAGGCCCAAGGCCCCAGGCCAGTAGGAGGCAGAGCAGGGTGTGCCTGGGGATGGCACTCCTGTCCCCATCCCTGCCTCTCCAGACGTGCCCTGGGGGTGGCAGGAGATTTGGATTCCAGCCTGGTTCTGCCACTCTGCAGGTGGGTGACCTCAGGCCAGCTGCACTCTTTCCCAATCAGAAAAATTAAGAGAATGAGGTGATTTCTTGGGGCACTTTCAGGTGGTAACGCTGTGATTTTTTTTTTCCTAATTATAAAGGTAGTCAGGTATAGCACAGGGAACTCTGCTCAATATTATTTAACAACCTAAATGGGAAAAGAATTTGAAAAAGAACAGACACATGTATATGTATGACTGAATCACTTTGCTGTACACCTCAGACTATCACAAGATTGTTAATCAACTGTGCTCCAGTATGAAATAAAACGTTAGAATAAAATAACGGTAGTCAGAAAGATCTCCAAACTTCCTGGATTCGGGGCCAACCCCAGGTAAAGGGACGGAGTATGTGGCAAAACTGATGCTTGGTGATCCCTCAGGGCTCCATCTGCAATGTTTCCCTCTGTCCAGACCAGGCCTCTGGTGCAATCCCTCCTACCCCTCCAGGCCCCAGAGTCCTGGGGTGGGGGAAAAGAGGGTTTGTCCGTCACCTAATAACTCAGAGGACACACAGACCATGCACATCAGGATGGGTAAACCCAAGCTCCTTATTAAAAAAGAGCTATCCTTTGAATGCGTCCTCACTTGTGCCAGGGGTGACCAGTGCTAGTCAAAGGTGAGCTTAGAGGTTGCTCTAGGCCAAGTCTCTTGGGCAAAAGGGGAATGGTCTCTCATGCTCTGCTGAGATGGAGTTGTAAATACCGTTTCAGAAACTAGGGGCCGTGTGACCAGAGATGTCCTACTCCCCTACTTCCTGCCAGAAGCCCCTCAGTGACTGCCCATTGCCTACAGGGGGAAGCCCGCATCCTTTGTCTTGGCTTCAAGGAACACCATAGGCACACTCTCACCCTCCCACCTTGGCCTCCATCTTCCCTAGAAACTCATAAGTACCACCCCTGCCAATTCTGACTGAGCTGGCAGCATCATAAGAGTTAACTCTTGGGACTTCCCTGGTGGTCCAGCGGATAAGACTCCATGCTCCCAATGCAGGGGGCCCGGGTTCGACCCCTGGTCAGGGAACTAAGATCCCACATAGCACAACTAAACCCATGCTCCGCAACTATTGAGCCCGCAAGCTCTAGAGCCTGTGCCCTGCAACTAGAGAAAGCCTGCACGCCTCAACGAAGACCCAGTGCAGCCAAAATAAACAAATAAATAAATAAATTTGTAAAAATGAATAAAAATAGAGAGGTCTCATTTTTTAAAAAAAAAGAATTAACTATTACTGTTGGTGGCAGATTTGTAGCATGCTATTTGGTTGATTCTAAGATGCACCCTTTTTCTCATTTTAACATCTTACTCATTTAACACTGATCATGCAATCGATGGCATGTTGTTGTTTATCTGGCAGCACTGTTTTCTTTTGTTGGTTCATGGAATAACGACGTCGCTTACAAATGAAGGCATCTCGGGTTTGATGAAGTATGGTAAGTAGCATTTTCCAGAGTTGAGCTCTGGAAGCTTGGCCGGAGACTGGGAAGCTGCTTGTCCATTCTCTGCATCTTTTTCCCCCAATCAGGCCTGGGTCCTGGTGTAATGGGGGTGATTTCTGGGGGCCTTTATGGATCTCTGGTTGCAACCACGGGTGATACTTAAAATGTTTAATGACTAGACCAATCAAAACAGAAGGCTGAAAACCACTGCCATGTCTGTCCTGGAGCTTACTTGATCCCCACCCTGGCTGTGGTACTCTTTCCTGATTTTATGGACCGTTGCCTGCACCCTCAGGGAACGTGGCCTGTCACCCAGGCCCAGGGGAAAATCCCCAGCTGGATTAAGCCAGGCATAGTTATCTCAGTCTCCTTTGCCTTTACTGGCTTAAGGAATGGACATGTATATTAGTTTAGTCTTGCTGCTGTAACAAATGAGCATAAAACAACACAAATTTATTATCTTATGGTTGTGTAAGACAGAAGTCGGGTACGTATCTCACTGAGCTAAAATCAAGGTGTCTGCAGGGCTGAGTTCCCTTCTGGAGCCTCCGGGGAAGAACTGGTTTCCTTGCTCTTTAGGTATTGGTAGAATTTAGTTTCTTGCAGCTGTAAGAGTGAGGTTGCTGGCTGTCAGCAGGGGGCCTCTATTAGTGTCTTGTGGCCTCTCTCCAGGTCTTACACATAGCCCCTCACTCTCAGAACCAGCGACAAATCCCCCTCCTGTGGCCATCTCCGTCACTCAGCTGGGTTTATGTGATTATGGTTTGTTTTTTTTGTTTTGTTGGGTTTTTTTTTTTGGCCACTACACGTAGCTTGAGGGATCTTAGTTTCCCGACCAGAGATTGAACCCATGCCCCCTGCACTGGAAGCTCTGAGTCCTAACCACTGGACCACCGGTAAGTCCCATATGTGATTATGTTGAACTCCCCATCTCAAGAGTCTTCCTTTGGGACTTCCCTGGTGGTCCAGTGGTTAAGACTCAGCATTCCCAGTGAAGGGGGCCCGGGTTCAATCCCTGGTCAGGGAACTAGATCCCAAATGCTGCAACTAAGAACCCGCACGCCACAACTAAAGATCCCGCCTGCCGCAACGAAGCAACTAAGACCCTGTACAGCTAAATAAATAAATATATTTTTAAAAGTGGGGACTGGGACTTCCCTGGTGGTGCAGTGGTTGAGAGTCCACCTGCCAATGCAGGGGACACGGGTTCATGCCCTGGTCCAGGAAGATCCCACATGCCGCGGAGCCACTAAGCCCGAGCGGCACAACTACTGAGCCTGCGCTCTAGAGCCTGCAAGCCACAACTACTGAGTCTGCGTACTGCAACTACCGAAGCCCGCGCCTAGAGCCCGTGCTCCGCAACAAGGGAAGCCACCACAATGAGAAGCCCACGCACTGCAACTAGAGAAAGCCCGCATGCAGCAACGAGGACCCAACGCAGCCAAAAAATAAATAAATAAATAAAATGAAAAAGAGAGAGACTCTACCTTTTTTTTTTTTTTTTTAAAGAAGATGTTGGGGTAGGAGTTTATTAATTAATTTATTTATTTTTGCTGTGTTGGGTCTTCGTTTCTGTGCGAGGGCTTTCTCTAGTTGCAGCGAGCGGGGGCCACTCTTCATCGCGGTGCGCTGGCCTCTCACTATCTCGGCCTCTCTTGTTGCGGAGCACAGCCTCTAGACGTGCAGGCTCGGTAGTTGTGGCTCACGGGCCTAGTTGCTCCGTAGCATGTGGGATCCTCCCAGACCAGGGCTCGAACCCGTGTCCCCTGCATTAGCAGGCAGATTCTCAACTACTGCGCCACCAGGGAAGCCCCTGAGAGCCTACCTTTAATCTACAAAGTCCCTGTGGTCATGTAAGGTAAGAAATTCACGGCCTCCAGGGGACAAGAGTGTGAGGGTCTTTATAGGCCATTGTCTGCCTGCTACTGCATGTGACCCACTCTGGCCGATGAGATACAAGGGGAAATCTGCTGGGGCTTGGGGAAAGATTTCGCTCCCTGATATAACGATTCTGAGGCTTGCCGCACTCTTACCTGCTTTGATTGAGGGGCTACGAGCTATGGCAATCATTGTGCCACACTAGGCATCAACACCAAGAATAAAAGCTGACACACAGAGAATAGTAGTGGGAATATCAGAGTGAAAAGAGAGTGCTTGGCCTTTCGATGACAGTATTGAGCCACAGAACCAACCTAGCATATTTAACCTAGCTCCTACTGGCCCCCTCTTTAGGGCTGGAGGAGGACCCTGTACTTCCAGTTACGGCTGGGGATTCGTCTTAGAGGAACAGACTGCCCATAGTGCCTGATGCTCCCTGCTAGACTGCACCTCCTGGTTGAGAGGATTGTCTGAATTATGCCTGAACTTGCTGTATCCTTCAAACTTGGTGGCTTGGACTGCTGGCTGCCCTCCCAGTGGCTCAGTCTCCCCAGCCCTGCCCCAAGGAGTCTCAGCTCTTTCCTCCCTGTTAATCCTGCATTTCCAGGGTCACATCCTACCTGTGCTCTTCCCACTTTGATGCTTCTGGTGTATCGTAATATCCAAACATCCTAGACTGCTGGCCATTCTCTGAATAGTCCTTCCACTTTCCTGCTTCTACGCTGTTCCTTCATGCTGGTCCCTCAACTGGAAATGCTCTTTCAACAGTCTCATATTTTCACCATTAAATCCTCGCGACCATCTTGTGATGCTATTATTCCCATCTGGCAAATGATTCAAAAACATTAGGTAACGTATTTAAGGGGATGTGGCCAGCGAGTGGCAGAACTGGGATGCTGATGTAGGTCTCTCTGACTTCAATGTCCATGTCCTCTGACTCCCCCGTTTGACATTTTAGAGAAGACACTGCCCAACTCAAGTCATGAAGGACTTATCCCCTTCTATGTATTATAAACACCCTGAGGGCAAGGAGGGAGTCATTCCTTATTGACCCCCAGAGTCAGTGGTGTGCAGGTCAAGGTCAAAAACTGGCTTGGGGGTTGGAGGTGGGAGCCCTGATTTGTAGTGTTTTCCATGGGGTAAATACCCAATAGTGGCTGATTTCAATGTCCCAATGTGACCTTACTGAACCAGGAGCTGGGAAGAGTGAACAGTGCACAGTGTTATAGGATGTTTCCACCGTACAGATATACAACAGATGTGAGTAACCTCAAGCGCACAGATAGGGACTTGCCTGGTGGCGCAGTGGTTAAGAATCTGCCTGCCAATGCAGGGGACATGGTTCAAGCCCTGGTCCGGGAAGATCCCACACGCCGTGGAGCAACTAAGCCCGTGCGCCACAACTACTGAGCCTGTGTGCCACAACTACTGAACCCCGCACACCTAGAGCCCGTGCTCCACAACAAGAGAAGCCACTGCAATGAGAAGCCCGCGCACCGCAACAAAGAGTAGCCCCCGCTCGCTGCAACTAGAGAAAGCCCACGCACAGCAACAAAGACCCAACGCAGCCAAAAATAAATAAATTTTAAAAAATTAATAGCTTTAAAAAAGAGAGCACAGATAACAGCAAAATGTAGTAAAAATCATTAGGAAGTGAATGAGTTTTGATCATTTATTACCTTTGTTTTAAATCCCGTTGCTTCTATTTTAATTTTATGTAACTTAATCTTTAAAATTGTTGTGTTTAACAATCGGCTTGCAAATTTCCTGGAAACTTAACAATTAGGTTCCTAACTGGTTAGAGCCGGCTCCAGCGTGCCACTGCTGGAGTCTAGTCCGGGGCTTTGCGCTTTTAATTGGTTCTAGAATGGTGGTGGGTATGCTAATAAAAAGAACATGCTCATCCACTAATGAGTTTGGAATAGAGCTGGTAACCAGACTTCAACATTCTTTCCCATGTCTGAGAATGCCTTAGTTCCACCACTCACACAGAAGGCCAAACAAATAAAAATTAGCTGAGGGTGGAGACCAAAGAAAAGCAAAGGCTCCAACTAAGGTCTGTGAAAACTGATCTCTGCCCAGTGCCAGGGTGGGGCCTTGTGACTGCTTCCAGTTCAAAACAGTCCTGGCAACTGGGTTTGAGCAACTGTCCTCTCTCCGACTACACCCACAGCCAGAGCAGTACTGAAGAAAAAGCACCAGTCATCTTGTTATTCTATCACATTCCAGAAAGTACAGCCCCCCCCCCCCCAGGAACTGGGGAGCCTAAAAAGTAACAACTATATTCCTCCTCCCAAAGGCACAAAGAAGTGCTGCGCTGGGACTGTCTTAAGGTTTCCTTATGGGTACAGCGCTGACATCACTGGAAACTGGAGTGGGCAGGCACAGCTTAGGGAGGGAGAGGGCCAGCTGGAGAATCAGCTGTGCTGCATTGCACTCAGCACTATCCCTGTCCCGGTTCAGAGATTGCACCATATATGGACTCAGGCTCAGGACGGCAGTCCCGCTGATTTGCATTGGGGCTCCCTGAAAATTGCATTTTGGGATTAGGTCATTGCTACCAGCAAAAGGGAAGACCCCAGTAAGGCTTGTCAGCATAAAGAAATCGGGCCAACTGTGGTCTGGCGTGGACCGAGGAGGGAAGGGGGTGCCGCCCCTTTCCAGCCAAGCTGCTCTTGGGAGCAGGCCAGAGCCTGAGCAAGCTGTGGGAGTGACTCTCGGCCACGGTGCACTCAGTAACAGTCCAGGCTCCCAGTTACTCTGGGGTCAAGATGGGTTCACCCAGGTAAACCCCAGCTAGTGAACCCACAACCTCATCCCCTAGATCCAGACTGGTTCAGCCCAGGGTGACACAACTGGGCCTTGGGAATCCAGGGAAAGGGGAAAGGAAAGGGTGGGTTGGAAGTGATCTGGGAAAGTGGCTTTTAATAAATGGCCAATAAATTGGATCCAATTTGTAAAGATTAATTAATTTGTTTTGCTGTTGTTTCAGCAATTGGATGGCTTTAACTTTTTTCTTAAAGGACCAGTTTGAATTATTTCAGGACACTTCTCTCTCTGTGCACCTCTTGATTTGATTTAAAAGACAAGAAGCATGAATTACTCTCTGGCAGTGAGAATGAACTGCTCCATATGCGAGATGCAGAGAAACCTCACAAACATAAGGTAGAGAGAAAGAAAGCAGACACAAAGGAGGACTGTGAATCCCATTCATATCAGCTCGAAAACAGGCAAATCCATATGTGTTGCTAGAACTCGGGATAGTGGTTCCTTTGTTGGCGTTAGTGCCTGGGAGGGGCAGGAGGGCTTCGGGGTGCGAGTGATATACTCATTCTTTGTCTGGGTGCTGCTTACACAGATGGAGACACACTGAGATGTCCACTTAGGATCTATGACATGTCTATATGTCTGTAATATTTCATTCAAAAGTTTCATTAAAAAAACCACAAAAAGCAGGCCTTCCAAGATGGCCCACACTCTGTCTATGGAGTGTGTATCTCCCTAAATAAACCTTCTTTTGCTTTAAACACACACACACAAACACACACACACACACAGACACACACACACACACACTCACACAAACCAGAAGGTAATCTTATGAAGTAACCTGTAACAGCAAAACAGTGAATTCCTCTGTGCCAACCAAAAATAAGCCCTGAGGGTCAGTGCAGCCCAATGTGCAGAGCGACACTGGCTCTGACCCCACTGCTGCTGCTCACCGCTGAAAGGGTCTTGGGAACCCAGCTCCCCACTTCTCACATCCTCCACTGCAGAACAAAGGGGTGGGATTCGATGAAATGCTCTCCTAGAGAAGACTCCTCTTCCTACCTGCTTCAGTGGAGGTGGAATAGATTTAATGTTTGCTTTGCCTCACCTGTGATCTTGTAGAGGAAAGTTCTGCAGGCTTGGTGAGCCCACAGATCAGATTTCACAGTCAAAGCGTACACACGCCTGTGCTCACACACACACAGGCACACGTGGGAGTGTCGAGCCCCTCTCAGCAGCCTCTCATCACCCATCGTCAGCCTTGACTTTCCCATTCATCTCCATTCTCGCCTCACCTCCTCCCCCTTGATCTTAGTGTTATTTGTCTCCTAGGGCTGCCATACAAAGTACCACAGACCGGATGGTTTAGAACAACAGAAAATTTTCACTTCACAATTCTGGAGGCTAGGAGTTCAAGATCAAGGTGCTGGCAGGGCCACGCTCCCTCTGCAGCCACCGAAGGATCTTTTCTATGCCTCTCTCCTAGCTTCTGGTGGCCTCAGTGATCCTTGACTTGGGGATAATCATTCCGGTCCTCCATCTGCACGTGGCGTTCTCCCGTGACCTCACATGGCCGTCCCTCTGTGCATGTCTGTGCTCAAATTTTCCCTTCTTCTAAGGACACCAGGCATATTGATTAGGGCTCATCCTAATCACCTCATTTTAACTTGATGACCTCTGTCAAGACTCTATTTGCAAACATGGTCATATTCTGAGGTACTAGGGGCTAGAACTTCAATACATATATTTTTTGAGAAGGACATAATTCAACTCGTAACATCCAGTGATTAAAAGGCTTCAGGAAAACCTCAAGTAGCCCCCAACTCTATGCCCTGCCAGGAAAGAGTAAGGATTCCAGATGAAGACCAAACACCGAGAGACTTGAATTAATCTCGTGTTTGTATCATACTTCCCACGCCCAAAGCACTTCCATAATCAATATATCATTTGATTCCCCACAGTAAGAAAGGTAGAAAGGCAGGCTCTGGGGCCAGACCGCCCGGGTTGGAATCTCAGCTCCATTTGTTACCAGCTGCTTGACCCTGGGCACGGGACCTCTTTGCCGCGGTCTCCTCGTCTGTCAAACAGGGATGTGCCGAGAATCCAAAGAATTAACACGAGAAGCGCTTACAACAGTGCCTGGTACACAGTTCGCATGGATAAGCCTTAGCTACAGCAAGATCAGAACACCAGACGGCGTCATCCCCATCTTACAGATGAGGAAACTGAGGCACACAAGAGTGATTCTAGGCAGATCCAGAATGGAAACCCAGGCCTTGTGGGTTACAGCACAGACTCATTGGGTTATCTGGCCTGACTTGCTGTCCCTTTTAGGTAATAATAACAACAACAACGACAGCTACCTTTCACTGAGCACTCACTAATTGCCGGGCACTGTGCTAAGTGCTTTCCATCCAGCATCTCATTTATCCTCGTGTGAGGTCTTGGGATCCCCATTTTAGAGCTGAATCACCCAGCTAGTGATGGGAAGCCAGGATTTGAGTGCAGGCCTCTGCAGCAACAGGGCCTGAGCTTTCGACCCTTTATGTACCATAACCTCTGGAAAGAAGATGACCACTGTAGTTGCTTGCTTTATAAACCAGGTGTTGCCAGGATGGATTAGGTGATATTTGTAAGCTCAGGAAGAAGCCACTCCTAACCATCCTTCATCCTAAGTGTCCCAAGTGCTCCCACGGAAGGATTTGCAGATCTGACACCAGAGCTTAGGAAGCCAACCCTGGGAGAGGAGAGACGCCAGATGAGAGCGTTATAGCCAAGGCCAGGGCCGGGTGCCAGCGAGATTGTCTGATGCTGCTGAACAGATAGAGGAGAACCCGATGCCAGAACCCAGAGGGAACTGCAGTGCCCGGGCACAAAGGCTTCATGACACCTTTCACGTCTGTGAGGAGAGAGAAGAATGACACTTCACTTGGGTGCAGGTAGTCCTGGGGGAGCGGGGATGCTGCTCAGATGGCCACCTGGGAACACCTTCCTGGTTGGGGATGTCAGGCAGAGACCTAATGGAAGCAGCCCCATGGGGGCTTTGCCCAGGCTGGGCTGACACACATCCTGATGCACACACGTGGTTGTGTCTGGTGACGCAGACAGACACGACTGTTTGGGCTTTTGTCGTTTCTTCTTCTCCCTCTATCAGCAGCATTGCACTCAAAGTCCTTGATCCCAGTTGGCCTGATTAGGGTCGTCACAATCCCTGGGCCCTGCCTGTGCCTCCTGGGGCCCCCTGGTGGATGCACCAAGGTTAAAGGAACCAGTGGAGGCCGAAAATAGGGCAGCTGTGGTGGTGCAGAGGCGAAGGCGGGGTACGGTGGATTTTTTTCCAACAGAATTTAAAGAGCGCTGTCCTGAATCTCTCTTGCCCCCCTGGGTGAATGATTTACCATGACAGCTCTGACCCTGGAATGGACTTTGAGGGGATGGCAAAATAAAAGGTTGGCCACCTCCTTCGATTTCCATTTGGAGCACTCCGCAACTCTCCAGGGCATCGAGAAGGCAACACACTTGGAGTTTTCCCAGAAGAATGTGGGCTGTGGCCTTAGCAAAAGGTGTTTACTCCCTTGGAGGTGGGATTTTTATTGCTAGTTTCAACATCAAGGAGGTGTGAACGTTACATACAAATCCTGACAATCAATACCACCTGAGGAAGGCCAGAAAGGGGTTGCACAGGTCACTGCTTCTCAAAGTTCAGAGGCACAGTTTGGAAACAGCTGGGAATCTCGTGAAAATGCAGATTCTCAACCAGCAGGTCTGGGGTGGGGCCCGGGAGTCTGTGTTTCCGACGTGTCCCTGAGGCTTGTCCTCTGGATTAAGAAATACTCCTGTACCGTCCTGGCATTCTCCTCCACACACACCACCCCCGCCAAAAACCTAAAATAAAGCCGGGGAATTGCATTTCCTGGAAGTGTCTTACATGACCCCAAATAACTGGGAAAGGACTGCCGTACGGTATTTAGGGTTTTAACTGTCCCCTCTGCTCCCGCCCACCAAGAATGGTCTTACACTAGAGCAGGTCAGAGGGTAGCGCAAAGGATGAAGACGATTTCATGGACAGTCTCCGGCAATCTTAAAGAAAAAACAGAAACAACAGTATTAAAACTACCAGATTTTGCTCTAAAATACATTCTTAAAGGTGGCTTGGACTGATATATAAGCATAACAACGACTAGAAAACATGGTTAAAGGCAAATTTTATTCTTTGTGCTTTTCTGTATTTCCCAAATCTTCTACAAACGAATGTATGTTGCTTTCTTTTTTTTTTTTTAAAGGCTACGCTTGAAACATTCTGGACTGTGGAAGTGCACAGGCCTTTTCCCTGGTACTGGGAACTAGAATGGAAGCTTTAACATTCAAGAGCTGATACTGTCTAGACAGGTACATTCTGCAGATAACTGAACCTTTGGGGATGGAGGGAGGGCTAGGATCTTCTGGTGTTGAGGAGATCAAGCTGGCAAGGCAGGTTGGCGTTGAGTCACCATTTGGCATTGAAGGAGGGAGGGAGACAGTGCGTGGGGAGCACCCAGCCTCTGCCGCCTCAGGTCATGCTGACTGCTTGTGGCCCAAGGTCTGATTTATTTTAGTTTCTATGTCTGTGAGCAAGGCCAGTTTGCATAAATGATGGTCTGGCATTTTGATCCACGTTTACAAATCAATGAGCAGACTACCAAAATCAATGAACTGCGATCGTGCGCATTTTATAGATGAGAAAAGGCAGGTTGGGGTAGGGAGGTTGGAGAGGGTAGAATTAATCACGGAAATGGAACCTTCATAACTCAGTTTCCCTTCCAAGGCATTTCCTTTCCTTCAGGGATTCCCAATCTTTGGAAGAGATAGTGCGCGTAACTCTGGATAAACACAGTCCTCTCCTTATCAGCAGGGTGCTTTGTATACAGTAGATACTCATTTTTTAAAAATACCCTAATGTTTCTTTCATAATGGTCTGAGCATAAAGCACAGAGCAATTTTAGGAAATTGCCATCTTTTCCCACTGGTAGCAACAAGCTTTGCAAAGAGGTTTGCATACACAGTCACCAATACCTAGTTGTTAAACAGAATAAAAGAATATTGAAGAGACGAGATTTAGGAGGTCTGAAAAAACAAAACGGATTGCTACGAAACGGGAAAAGAGCTGGCTCTAAAATGTAGCAATGTTCTTTTATGTTTACACATATAAGATGGCTTTATAGGTTTCACGCATGTAATTTCTAATGTTTGAGAAAATAAAATTATAGGAGGGCTGCCTTCTCAGGTCCCTCAACCCTCTGTTCAGGAATGAAGACTGGCCTTCTGTTACCAACTTGGCCGATCTCTCTGCTGCTTTCTTGCCAGGCCTACTCAGATTTGAATACCCTTCATCCTGCAAAGGTCAATATAAGTGACATTTGCTCTTTTGTCTCCAAAGGTCAATATAAGTGACATTTGCTCTTTTGTCTCCAGTCTTCATTCCTCTGGGTCCTTTGTTGACCTAGACCCACGACCCTGCCAATCAGTTGTCCCTTATTTTCATGGCTTCCTCTAGAAAAAGGAAAAACTCCTTTATAGGCAGGCACGAACAACTGATAAGTTTAGAGTAGCCCAGAGAGGTTGCATTCCAGGCCAAACTCTGAGCAGACCAATTTGTCTCCTAAGGCTCTCCTTGACTATTTTTGATCCTCTGTTTTTAGTGTCAGGGTGTCTCTGGCCTCCAGAGCACATCTCTGAGGCTCTCTATTACCTCAGGGAAGGCTCCCGACCTGCAGACTCACCCTGACCCCCATACCTCTCCCCCTCTCACCATCCTATCTGAACTTACCCAACCTTGCCCCAGCCTTCAGCATCTTTGTCATAAGTTGACCAAATGTACCAACAGGCCCCTTAATAGTGAGAATTAAAGACAAGTGCATTTTTGAGATGATAGACCTTCAAATCACCCAATGTAAGCAACCCTGCCATTGGGTCCACGGGCCCCATAAAGATTGATGACAGATAAGTGAAGCTGGGGCCTACGTGATATTCCCTCAATTGCACAGCACCTTCCTCTGGCCCTATGGACATCGGTGACTCACCAGGAGCGTCAGAGGGCCAAATTGCTCCCTAAGTAAAGCAGATAAGAAGAAACACAAGGTGGTATTTGCTGGGGTGAATCATTGCCCTTTCAGCATGTTTGAACTGTCTACTTCTGATCCAAGGTCCCTGGATGAGCAAATTGATATATGACCAGTTAGATTCTCCCTGCAGTGGATTCAGCACATGCCCAAAGCCTCTGTCATAATGATGTGCACTCCCTGACCGCCTTGCTAATGGTAACTGGGCTCTGCACCATACGTACCAGGCTGGGAGAACCAGAAGACCAGATGTGGGCCCAGGTGCCCCTTTCCCCTGGCAAGAACCAGCCCCGAGTTCCCACGGTTTGCCATATCTTGCCACTGTCCTACATCGAGCTCCATAATTTATTATGGAAAGCACTCTGCAGTAGAGAAAAGCGGATGGGAAGACTCTCAGAAACCCCACTGTGCTAGCACCAGCAGCTAACGGGAACAGTTACTGTCATTTGCTGTCAGAGGCAGCATGGGCTGGAGTTCTCAGACCCAAGTCAAGCAAATAAGAACTTGAGAAGGAAACTCTTATAAGCAGAGGAGAAGTCTGCCACTGTTGTTACACCAGGCTGCGGTGGTATCTGGGTTGGAACTGCAAGACCCCCAGCTGAGAGTATAGGTTGGAGGCCTGGTCAGGAGTCTGAGCTATGGTGGGCCACACAGACCCTGGAACTTTCCAGGGGATCTTCCTCACCAACAGTCCCCCAGTGTGACACATTCTTTCTTTTCTTTTTTAATTAATTAATTTATGGCTGCATTGGATCTTTGTTGCGGTCGCAGGCTTCTCATTGCGGTGGCTTCTCTCGTTGCGGAACACAGGCTCTAGGCACGCAGGCTTCAGTAGTTGTGGCACATGGGCTCAGTAGTTGTGGCTCGCGGGCTCTAGAGTGCAGGCTTAGTAGTTGTGGCACACGGGCTTAGTTGCTCCGCGGCATGCGGGATCTTCCCAGACCAGGGCTCGAACCCGTGTCCCCTGCATTGGCAGGCAGATTCTTAACCACTGCAGCACCAGGGAAGCCCCTGACACATTCTTAGCTCACTGTCAGTAATGGGTCTCTCAGTCTAACTGAGGATGTTGGATTGGGGCAACTGGAGAAATATCAATACATTCCTGGTGTGTGTGTGTGTGTGTCTGTGTGTGTCTGTGTGTGTGTGTATGTGTGTTGGGGATGGGGCTTACCACTTACTTTCTGATCTGAGAGCAAATGTGATTGAACCGAAAAAGGCTCTAGGTAAGGCAAGTTATAGGCAAACATAAACATTACCAGTTTACTTCTTAAATATTTATCAGCCTAAACTTTTTTAAAAAAATATTTATTTATTTATTTGGCTGTGCTGGGTCTTAGTTGCCTCATGTGGGATCTTTTAGTTGCGGCGTGTGGGCTCTTAGTTGCAGCACGTGGGATCTAGTTCCCTGACCAGGGATCACACCTGGGCCCCCTGCATCAGGAGCTCGGAGTCTCAACCACGGGACCACCAGAGAAGTTCCCAAACTTGCTTATCTGGAGAGGCCATATATAACATAGCGGTGAAACTGACAGGCTTTGGCATCAGACAGATCTGAATGTGAATTCCAGCTATACTCACTGTGTGGTCTTGGGCAAGTTACTTAACTTTTCTAGGTCTCAGTTCCCTCATCAGTAAGATGGAGATGATGATAACAAGAGTACCCTCCAAATAGAGTTATTCTGAGGGCTGAATGAGCTAATGCAGTCAAAGTGGTAGAACGGTACACTATTTAATAAATGTTCAGTACATGTCAACTATAATCCTGGGAATGTGAAAGCTCATCATGTTTGGTAAAAGTCAAGTTTATTTAAGTCTAATTTATGTACGATAATTGCCCCATTTGGTGTACATCTCTATGAGTTTTAACAAGCACATACAATCATGTAACCACCACCACAATCAAGATGCATCACCCCCAAAAGTTCCTCTGTGCCCCTTTGTCATCACCTCCTCTCCCCACCCCTAACCCCAGGCAACCACTGATCTGTTTTCTGTCCCTATAGTTTTGCCTTTTCCTGAATGTCATATAAATGGAACCATACAGTATGTAGGAGAAAACTCATCACGTTTAAAGGCTGGCATATACTTGACATCCAATACATTTCTAAGTAGATTTAAAGAACCAAGATACCATTTTCATCCCAAATCAGATGATATGTTTCCCATTGACTTATAGAAGAGGTACGATTTTCTCAAATGCCTCCCGAGTAGTTCCTTTATGGGTAAGTGGGTCTTTCTCATACACTGCCTATCAGTCATTAAGTCTCAGCCTTGAGTCTGGGGCCGGCAAGGAGATCTCAGGTACTCAGAAAGGGGAAGTACAAGTTCCCCTTCTTACCTGAATGGATAAAGGGAGGAGGAGAGAGTCATGTGAGGCAGGAAGTGAGTCACATGGCTCTCCATCTCTCCATTTTAGGGGAGGTCTGGGGAGCTGTGGAGAGGAATGCCAAGGGCAGGGGCATTTCATTTCTTTGTTTCAATTCATGGCTTGGACACCGGGATGAGGTTGCCTTGCAACCTCCCTGCCCCAAACCTTGGAGGTAACCACTCCTCAGTAAGCCTGGTAGCACCACAACTATTTCAGTTCCCATGTGGCATGGAGGGGCCCCAGAAGTCCCCTTGTGGAGGGGAAGGAGAAGAAGCAGCTGAGTTAAGAGTGGCCCACTGTGACCAGGGGAGGTGACCCTAGAGCAGGGATCATGGGCTAATCCCCTGATCAGGGGCTGGACAGAGGACATGGCTTGGAGGGTTTAACACCAACAAGAGGCTGCAGAAGCCAGGCAGCCAGGAATCAGCCCCAAACCCTGGCCAAGAGGCCATATGTTGAGTGCATCTGCAGTCCTCTTGGCTGTATGCAAAGGTCAGCAGGGAGGGGCGATGGGCAATGGTGGGGATCAAGCACCAGGGACACTTCTGGATTGTAGAACCCCTCTACCCTAGTCCCATGATGACTCAGTCAGCACATCCCTCCCCGCAATCCCA